CAGTTTCGGTCAACAGCATGAAATTTTCAATCCCTCTCTTTTGATGACACTTTAATTACCGTGGGCATTATCGATACGCGTAAAATTCGCGAAATGCGACCAATGAGATAACCGGCGAAAATGTCATGCGTCATTATTATTACTTATCGTTTTGTAGAGAGTTGTATAATGCATACAAATTGCGCCGTCGGATAAATGCAATCTGGTTGCAGCGAATTGCGACCAACAACAGAGAGTGACAAATGATTGCGGCTAGGACGACGACGAAATTTTAAACTAATGGCCCCGGCTCTTGTGTACGGAACAATCATAATATTGTTAGGAATATCGTCGCCTGTTCGCGCTAATTAAATGCAATTTTCAACAATAATGTGCGGATAGCGTTTAAAATCATCCGTCACCATTTCTGTACTTATTTTATGTAATGTATTAAAAATGTATTTAAAAATTGCAATTACCCATCTTACAGCTGTCAGTTCGAGAGACTGATAACGGATCGCAAGTCTGGTTCTTATCGCGCGTTAGCAAGAATTGAGCACGAGCTGTGACGAGTTTTTTGATTGATCTAGATTTTCCCTGTACGTGTCACGAGTTATTTATCATTTTTTATTTATTATTATTTTTATTTATTATTTATTATTTATTATTATTTTTATTTATTATTTTTTAATAAAAACAATATCGGGTCGAGAGTTTGATAATTTCGTAAATAGATTACGCGTTATATTTTTGGTTAAGATCGATCGATCTTCAGATAGCTTGGAAATGTTGTGCATGGAAACAATTATAATTTATAAATTCAAACACAAAGAAAATAAGAGCTAGTTAAGCAAACAACATAAATGTAAAGAGACAAAACATTGTCATAATAATTGTAAGCTGTAAAAGTTCGGACACGAATTCATTTCGAATAATTTATACAGTAATATACGTATTTTTTTGTAACGCGTTCTTTCTCAGCACACAACTCCTTTTTGCGCAAAATTTAAGAGTTTTTTATATGTAAGAAGGAAGCTTCCAGATAATAATGTTAAACGAACCACCTACGCTTGGTACACATTGTCGTCAGCATTGTACGAGAGTAAGGAGCGCGTTTTCCTTTTGAGATCCGGGCTTGATCTGCTAAAAGGTCGCGTTACGTCGACAGAACCTGAGCAAAAGCAACCTCTGGTCCCGCGTTTTCTCGCTGCATGTTTGCTGGCGTGCCGCTTTGTAATAATAACATAACGGCCATTGCAACACGAAAGCGAGACGTGTCTTTCATTACGCTCCCTGCAGCACGAGCCAAAAGCACCTAATTGCAGAGATTAGAAACGACAGTGAAAAGGAAAAAAAACGCATTATGAGAAACATCGCACTCGAAATTCCTCGACATTCTTCGTGTGTAATAACATTTTTTTATCGCTGGGAAAATACGAAAAAAATATTTAAACGCCACGTGTAGCCGTGAGACATACGAAAATTTTAATTTTAATAACAAAATTTTAAATTTTAAACTTTTAGACAAACACTTCTGTTCTCTTCTTTTTGTAATTATAAAATTGTTAATATCATTATTGAAAATAGAGCTAGAGCGACAAGCGATTTTTACAAAATAAACTTTATTATCAAAATATTAAAATTATATGTTAGCCGTTTGAGAAGTCTTGAGATTTTATTTTTTTTTAATCTAAGAGTTTGCAAAAATTTATTTGCAAACTCGCTCGATTTTAACATTATGTCTGCACATATTCGCTCAATATATCTATAGCGATGCGAGCGATTGATTATATCCTATTACAAGGATTCTGTACATCGTACCGCGTGTATCGATATTCTCGTTAAGCAGCCGCTTTGCAACATCACATAGCAGATAATGAGATTTTCTGTGTCTGTCATAAGCCCTAAAGGATAAGAATCAATTCTAAGCTATACGATGTTATAGTCACATATGTGATGTACAAAATTATATAAAGATTTGTATAGCATATGTTATCTCTCAGTGCAAAGCATAATAAATTGAATTTCTCTTAAAAAAAATGGATACAATAAATACAAACGAATATAAATACAGAGTTAAAAATTTAATAACTATAAGTTAATTTCGCTATAGAGAGATATTTTTCGATAAAATAATAATGTGATATTTCGTTATAAAGAGGTATTTTTCGATAAAATAATAATGTTTAATATTTTTAACTTAAAAATTCAATAATTTCCCCAAAATAAAATTCGTAATTTCGATCAAATTTCATGATATACGATTTCTCGAGAGAATACATTTTTGATAAATTGCAACCTGCCGAGTTTACATGTTATATAGTAACTGCAAAATCGGAACGACTAGCGATTGAAATGATCGTAGATGGTTGTGAATTATTAATGTGATTTCAAGGGAGAGAGGAGAGAGCTACACGGATAATTTTGCAGCGAGTCGAATGATGATTACGCGGTTCGTTACACGTATCTCGTATCAATGTTACTTAATACAATTGATTGCACGCACATTCAAAAGATCCATCATAACACTGAATATTATATCAAAAACCAGTTTTAGTAATAATAATAATAATAATAATAATAATAATAATAATAATAATATTAATAATTATTGTTATTATAAGCGATGCATTATGTGTACGTACAAAAAAAAAAAATTTTAGCAAAATTGAATTACAATGTACGCTTCATCATCTCTCAATCATTGATCGGCTAAACAATTTCGAAGGATGGCGATTATCACGTTGGTGGATTAAATTTCATTGCGGGTAAATGGAATCGATTGAACATTGTAATCGAGTGATTCGATCCACTCTTTCATCTGGCCGCTTTGGAAGCGTACATTTTCGTTTTATACGGTTACCAAGAGACACAGTCTCGTCAAATACACACACAAATGTCGGCGACATACAAGTGGCAAGATTAACCGACTGACTAGTCTTATTAATAAACAAAAATTCAATTAAAATACCGTCATGATAATCGTACAAATTAAATTTTAATACATAACGTTTTTTGCTTTAAATTTTTAATAATAATGATAAATTAATAATAATAAATTTTTCTTTATTGTAATATGTTTTGCGTTATTATTATTATTTTTTTTATAATAGCTTTTTGCTTCAGTGGTCTCTCTGATTATTCACATATTTCTCTTTTCAAAATGTTTTGCTTATAAAATTTCTATTTCTATTTTTTAATATTTTTAAATTTATTTTTGTATAATAAAATATTTTCGAGTTATTTACTATTAGTTTATATTTTATGATATATTAAAAAAAAATACTGATGCAGTGATTTTTTGTGTCCAATTCACATTTCTTTTACTCTTCAATTTTCACATGTTATTTTTCAATAAATTCAATTAATAAATTCAATAAAAAGTGTTAATTATTCAAACATTGATTAAAAAAATAAAAAATGCAACATGTAAAACTTCTTTTAGGAGAAGATAGATTTTTAAATTTAAATTTTATGTTATTTATAAACCATAAATCATTTGCTTTTTTGTGAAAATTTTATATATCGAGGAAATAACTGTACAAAAAAATTGTAGAGGAAACATTGCACAACAAAGATTTATGTACGACAATAAAAATATAAGATGACGTTACACTATATAAAATTAATGACCATAACTAGATATTAAAGCTATTAATCTTTTATAACTCACCTAAATTTCATCGATAAATTGTAACAATTATTTCAGCCAATAATGGAAGGATTATGAATCAACAAATTTAATTGGTATTAAGTGGATGCATTAAATTGCATTAAATTAATCATACATATTGCTTCCTTACAAATTCTATTTTATTACATCATTCTATCTCGATAAATATATGTCGCGTATATCCATTTTGATAGCACTTTATTTACTGCCGTTTAATTTATCGTTAATGTTTTATATAAATAGCTTTTAACTTCGCTTCACATTAATAAATACCGCAAGTCATAAACATGAAGAAGATTTGCTGGAAGATAAATTGAGCCGACAATTTTCCGTGCAATTATTCGGAAATAATCCGTCTAAAATCCGCTGGCTGGTGCAACAATATTGTCGACTGCAAATCTTTAGCTCGATTATCGTAGATGAAGGAGAGGATCTCTTTTGTGAGATTTCTCGCGAAATTTCGTCCAAGGAAAGTTCACGTCATAGTGTACAGGGAAAGCGGCAGTCTGTCGTTCACTCATAAATTCGCGATTCGCTATTAATAATTCGCGACAATACGCGCCAACGTGGTGAACTCGCACGAGCGAGACGGTCGATGACAAATAACGACGAATCGATTGATTATTATACGCAGGCAATACAGCATCCGCGATTAGAGCGGAATTACGAGGACGCGTGCATCTCCCCTGTTGTCGTGATAATGCACGCGCGGAATTTAAGCTGCGAAATCCGCACGAGTTCCGCGAGTCTCAGGATGCATGCATGCCTAGTAACTTCCGCAACGCACGCTTTGCGAGGTCCGCATAAAGGCCAGAACCAGGTAGATACTTAACACTTCACCGAAGATGTAGAGCGTGGATTTATTGCGAGAGATATATCAAATCGAAAACTCAATATATTCGCCAAATGTGTTGCAAATGGCTTAACTTGCCAATTTCGAATTAATACGTTAATATCGAAAATAATTTGCGCATGTGGAAAAATTTTTTGTCGTGACACTTTCAAATCCGTGAGCATTAATATAATAAACTAAACTGTTATTGTAAAATTCATCTCTGAAAGCTCAAAAATTCAATTCATTTATTTAACATTTGACAACTCAAAGTAAAATTCGTGTAAAATTTTGATAAAAATTCGACCTACTCTCCTCCAAAAAAAAAGAAGAGAGAAAAATTCGTTACGCCTACTCGAGATGCTCGAGGGTACAATACGTGATGCGATTTACGTAATTTATTGAGTGACAAGTGCCCGAGTGATAAGAACCGGCTTGTCAACTTTAATTCACGCGAAAGAGGGTGCAAGGTGCTGGAGCAAAGCTGCCGCTGGAAATCGGACAGATGGCACTCACCTGGTCGCGTTGATCGTGAAGATGGTCTCGATGGAGCGACGATCGAGGACACCGCCGCTAAGCAGATACTGGACGGCGATCAGGGCGAGGACGATGCAGGCGAGCGCCTTGTAGAGGTGGGCACGATGCCACAGTGCCACGGCTGCGGCGGCCACAGTCATTGCATGCGCGAGACACCATAACTCCCTCCTAGCTGCCGTTAGAGGAGCACCGCCGTGCACCACGAGGCACTCCTCCTTGCTGGCCGTTTCCTCAGTTTCAACTGCAGCTGCAGCCCGCGGGCCGAGTACCAACCCTGCTGCAGTCCTTCTCCTCCCTCGACGGGCACCAAGGGAGAAAAGGCCGCCTGGGGCTGCTCACTTCCGCTCACTAGGAGCATCACCCTCGCAGACCCTCGTGACGTCCTCTAGGACGAAGATGGTAATATCTGCGCGATAAAAAGGTTTTTTTTTTTTTTTTCGTCTTCAGAAAATTTAAAAGAGCTTTAAAACAACAGATCTCAACAGATTTATTAATTATTATATATAGCGATTATAAACAATTCACATTAACGTTTGACGCTATTAATTTTTAATCTAAATATAAAATTTTATAAAGGTAAAATATTAGCAATATGAATGATTTAATTTAATAATTTAATTTATATACTGTTAAGTGTTTAATTACTTTTGTTATAAAATTTGTATTTATTATTGCGATTTATCTCGATACTCTGATTTATTAATTGGATATATTATATTTTGTAATTTATTAATGTAACTATATTTCATTCTTTGATCAATTATTCTCAATTCTGATCCGTGCGAAAAAGGAAATATTGTTTGTGATATAAAAGATAAATGAGATATGTTAAAATGGCAGAAAAAAATGGCAGAGAAAATACAGATTTATATTAAAACTTAATGTAGGATGTTTCTCTCGTGAATAAAGAAAAATAATTTTAGTGTAATATGTATAAATATGTGAATCTTTCACGAGATTTCTCCGCTTGACCTCGCCTTGAAGCTCCTAATATCACACGGTACCATTAACATCGTAAACTGTAAAATTTATCGCAAGATAACCTGGAAAAATGTAATAATGCCGGCAGTATCATATATTTCTCAAAAGTTACGAGAGTGCATGACAGAATAAAGAAGAAGTTCCCAAAGAACATGGTGAATTAAAAACGCCGTATGCGCAAGCACTAAAAACGAACTTTACGAAGGCATTACGATTATTTAAGCTAAACTTTTATCGAGATGTCGCCGAATTTCGCGACAATTTTATTATGTATTTCAACTCTTTCGTCATCTTGGTATTAAATGTAACATTATCCAATTTTTAAAAAAAAATAATCACATTGTAAGTTTGCAAAGATTTAGTTTCTCCCTTGAACACGTGTGTGTTACAAAATATAATATTTTGCAAAACGTTCGGAAAAAGAAAACAGATATGAAAAAATTGGCTTTATCAAATTAAAAAAAAGATTAAAATGCCTTTTCCTCTTCAACAGCATATTAGTGCGACTTGAGAGACATTTGTGCGAGCAGATGGGCGTTAGCGAGATGCGCGGTGCGAATCCAATACGTTGTTGGGAAAATCACTACATTATCGGGACTTCATCGCATCAAACTACGCCAGTTACTCTACGCTACGCGGACCGAAACTAATCCGAGTTTATGCGCCGGGAGCTCCCGAATGTTCGTGTTTAACGAGTTGGCAGGCAGACTTATCGGCCCGCGATGGCAACTCGCTCGATTGTTTCGGCGCAATCTTTATTGTAGTAACTCGCCTATTAAAAAGTGATTACCAGCCTTCATTATCGCCGATAATTCGATCGCGATTTTCGACCCTAAATGCGTACTCGCTCGTACTCGGTACCTGGTTTGATTAATCTGTTGATTAATTAATTGGTAAATTTGCCAAACTACGTAAATAAACCGTAATCCACACAAGTTTCTGCACGAATGCAAATCCCCCATCGCGCGACTCTTGCAAAAGCGAAATTTGTTATAACGAGAGGTAAGATCGAGAAAAAAAATACTGCAATTGTAAATATAATAATTAAAAGATTGACATCTTATTATACGATTGATTACAATAATTATAAAATATACAGTTTATCATTTATAAATATTGAGTATTATAATTTCATGAGTTTCATTGAATATTTCATGAGTTTTTAATCATAGTTCTTTTCGAATCTTTTCATTAATTTCGCGTTATCGGAAAATAGCAAATCACTATAATCTTTTAAAAATTAAAGATATTGGATATTTTTTCTAACAACACATTATTCAGAAATTTTTAAGAAATTAATAATTACAAGTTTTAATGGAAAACTCAATCCTAACGATCTACAAAATTTCATTTTCATTTTATATTTTTTATTTAAAATGAAAAAACCAATAAAAATTACATAATGTATTCATGAATTATTTTTAATTATCTTTTTGCGTATTTATCAATATTTTATACATATTAAACATTTTTTAAATAAAGCATACATACAAATACATGAATTGATGAAAAAACATAAAATGCATTTCTATCGATATAGAGATATATGTTTAATATAATTGATTAAAGAACATATTAGAATATAAAATTATTAATTTAAATACATATAATTCGCTCGTTACTACGATATTATTCGCTGACCTGCTTTTGTATAATGTAAACTCATTACTCAAATATACATTTCACTCATAATCCACTCTCTCAATTCGCTCTTTATCACAAAGCTCTCTTACTTTTTTTCTCGTATATTAACATACACGAACGACGAATATTCATGTATTCCGAGCTAAGAAGAGGTCTTGGAATATTGCTTCCGTCCTCTCTTTCTTGTCTTTCGCGTGCTTCGACGTTCAACAATGCTAAGGTAGGTCGTGCTTTCCGTCTATTCATACCGTGCCTATGTTTACTATGCAGTCGTAATTCCACCCCCTGTGTCCCTTTCTCTCTCTCTCGACCCTTTATTCTCCCTTTCTCTCTCGTCCTCTCTTGTTGTTACTAGTTATCCGCGCGTTATCGTCCAGCTCCACTCTAGCGTATACGATATAGCGCGCCCTGATTTCTCTTTGAAAATGGACGACGGGATATTATGGTGACACTGATATGAAAAAGGATAAGATATAATCTCGTGCTATTAGAAAAAATATAATCCACAGTAGTATTTGATGAGAGAAAAAATTATTTTGATGCATGAAAATTGAGAGCCTTCTATTGATGATCATTAAGCTGCAATAATCAAACAAATTTGCTATATTAACAATGTTTCTTATGAAAAAATAAAAAATAATTTCTTTAATCAAACTGGCGACAGAGGATTTTTCTTCGTAATAATTCGTAATAATTCTTGTTCCTTCATCGAATTATTAATATTTTAATAGAAATTTATAATTTGAGATATATCATTTATAGATAATAATTTAACTAAATACAAATATCAGCATTTTTTTTATCTCACACTATGTAATTTTTTTTCATTTTTTTTTCATGTCACGAGAGGAGATCGGCATCCAATTCAATTTTGTAAAAGCATTAAAATCATTTTATATTGAAAACTTAATAATAAATCGACATGATAGCGTTGGTAATGGCTGAGATTAAAAACCTCTATCGACCAATATCATTTGATAACAATATTCTTTCTCCGTGTTATAGCGGCTATACTCTTCCCCTAAAGGTCGGTGCGAAGTGCGACATGGCTCAGAATGGAAAACATTATTCGGAAGTGAAAAACCGGGGCTTTTCCACTTTCCGAGCTATCGGGTTTTCTCGCTTGGCAGACGTCAGGATTTCCGTACTTTCCACGACCAAGTTGACGCGTAAGAAAATCCCTCGTGTCCCCTTTCTATCTCTCTCTCTCTTTTTCTCCCGCGAAAAGAGTTCATGATTGCACGCGACATGACAAAAAAAAGAAAAAAACAATCGATAACTTCAAAATTTTGCAATAAAGGGCGCGAAAATATATTTCTGACGTTGCATTTTCGGGCGATTTTCCGATCTGAAACTTAACTTTTCCATTATTCTTTCTCACTCTGATCATTAGAAATACTTGGAAACTGCATTTCAATTTCAATTGTAATTGCAATTTCTGAGATACACAACAAATATCATTTCCGAGTACTTCCATCGAAATGTCTGTCCGTTCAGTATCTAATAACCGCCGGTTTTATTGCTTTCTGAAGTGCATAAAAAAGTAAATGTCACGAACGCGGCTATCTTTATATGCATCGGGTTGCATGCGTGGGTCTTATTTACGACTGTATGAAAATTGAAAGACCGACGATATGCACGAATTCAGCAGAACAGAAATATATCAGGCGGAGCATGGGCAAACACATAAAAGACGGATCATAAATTTTACATATCTGTTCGGGATTCATCGCCGGACTGTCGTTGGTCATCGTACGATAGTATACGAAATACCGGGATTCAATACCGATATTACACACTCTTATGAGTATTATGTAATCTATACATCTTACATTTTTATCCGTTTCTTCAACTTCAATATTAGCCATCGACATTTGCGAGAAAAGTATGAAACGCATCATCTGTTTATCGTCGCGGCCGATCTGTTTTGATAAAATATACATTTTCCGTCGTCACGGTATTTTATTCCTTCGCGAAACGTGCGTTTGCCGTAGACAATCCCCTCTCCCCTCTCTATCGAGCAAAAACCTCTTGACGATATCGTCAATTCGTCTCACCGCAAAATGTGCCACCGAGAAATGCGAGAAGAAGATGGAAAAAGAATAAAAATTTCGCGCCTCACATTTATCCCTGTCACTCGGAGATAAAATAAATAAGCTGCTCCGAGAGCAGTCATGACGAGTCATTTTCCCCATGCCGGAAACATTTTCACGCACTCCTGTTACCTCGCAACCGTTACGGGGATTGTATAGACATACTCCCTTCGCAACATTTATAACTCATTAACTCATCAACTTCCCCGAAATTATGTCCACCCCAATTCCTCGCACCCCTGTATCGACTTGATAACACTCTTCTTACAGCGTTCTTCCCTTTTTGTTCAGAGTCGTGTCATAATGCATCACGTCGAATCACGTTGCTGGGATAAAAATCAGAAAAAATATTTCAAAGCTAATAGGATATCTTAATATGTAAATTTTTGGGCTATATTGCCAGAGATAACGCGTATAATTAAGAAAAATGCAAATCGAAATTGCTGGATGTATTCCGTTGGAGATAATTTTTACCGGAGATGGTGTGCGTAATTAGGGCAAACGTGAGTTGGAACTTTGATCTTGCGCGAGCAAATTTAGATGTAACGCTTGATGTAAAAGAGATTTAGGAATGTACGCTATTATTACGGAAATATTTAATTTAATTTTGTGATTTTATCTCCTGTATTTCACCGTAACATAAAAGTTACAAAAAAGCGTGCAAGTGCCATCGCAAAAATCA